AGAAATGTCCCCCCCCCCCCCTCCAAAACAATAGGAAAATAGGCTCTGCTAGCAGGGAAGGAAAACCGTTATTATGCTTAACATTTGTCAACTAGGCTTTCCCTATTTTCCCTAAATAAACTTTTCAGCTCGGTTTTCGTGAGTGTAGGAGAAATCCATTATATATAACAGTATTCATTTTATATTCCACTGAACGAAAAGTAGTTGCAATAGTTGCTAAATTTATGAACATTTTTCAGTTTAAATTTAAACTTGGTATGAAAAAACGACGTCTAAAATGAAAAGTTCAGCTGTTGATCGTTACAAATATAGAATAATTTACGTGCGAATCTGCTGGTTTACTATCATACTAGTTTGCCATTCTCTAATTACTCAATTGCCATTAATTAGTCGCCCGATCTACCCACACTCACACAATAACGTTCACGTTCTATATAAAGATTTCATCTTTCATTTTWTTATCAGACTTCCATGAATAGCCAATCAATTCTATTCACAATGCATGGTTGGAACCAAAAATTTAAAAAATCATGGTAACTGTATTTATAGATTTCATGATTTATTGTATTATCAGATTTCCATGAATAGCCAAATCAATTCTGTTGAAGCGTCGTTGGGACCAAGGCGGAATTAAAGAAATGTTGTAACTTACCTTGGTCAGGGTGACTGTCAGAAACAAAGATATCGCCACTGATACTTTCATGGCTGAAATAGCCCCCTAACAACGACATAAATAGGAAATTATTCGTTCTGTTAACTTGAATAATTTTCAATYCACCAATAAAGGATGTCAAGAAGACTTAACAAATTAGCCGCAGTTAAAAGAGTTTGAGTTGGCAGATTAAGATTCCCGTCTTTCCTCACCGCAAACGGCAAACGTGACCAMGTTTTCATCGTTTSCCTACATTTCACTTTRCCTTTTGCAAACCTTCTCGACAAARACACGTATTCTTATYTTTATCTACTACTTGGAGATTTTTGCGATTCTTTTTCACTAATTTTAAAGAATTTTTTAATGGTCAACTGACGTTTCACGTTTGCCGTAAACGAGAGTCTTAAAATCTCTAGTGTATCTCATTTAGGACAAACGTGAAACGCCGTCAGTTGACAAACAAAAAATTATTAAAGAGAATTTTTAAAAATTCCAAGTAGTAGAGAATAAGGGTTTTTTGGTGAGAAGGTTTGTAAAAAAGGTAACAAAGTGAAATGACAAATGCAGGGAAATGATGAAAACTTGATCATGTACGTTTGCCGCTTGCGGGTAAAAAAAAAAAAAAAACCTGAAAAATACGCAAAGCCTCTATTGGCTAAAGTTTTAATGCATAATATATAGTAATTTTTATTTTTATTGAACAAGTTTAGAAAAGTCCGTCGTAATCTATGTATTTCTCGTTTTTCGATGATGTCTCAGCTATGTTTTAGTTGTTTTGCTAATATAAAAGTTTTATATGAAAGTTCTAATTCACAAGTGAAAAAAATTCTTCGTTGAACACTTTTATTTGTCTCGTAAACGCTTGTTTTTAGAATAATAAAAATGCAGAAGAAATTAGCTTAAATTCCAAAGGAAAAAAATGTAGAAACTGATATGGATTCATTCTTTAAGAATTGAATGGCCAATGTTTCTTGGTTTAATGTTTAGTGCTTTCGTTGAATCGATGGAAGAAGAAAAATAAGAGTTGAAAATAAACTCAGTATTATTCAACTGCACAGACACATGATACCAATTGTGAAATAAATATATAATTTTTGAATAGAATTAGAATATTAGCTGGTTAATAATCGTGCTTAGCAACTCTCTCAGCCAACAGAAGGAAAACTTTATAATAATTTTGACCAGAGTGAATAGAGGGGATATTATATTAACTCTGTTTTGACAAAATGTAAATTGCACCACTTTAGCAAACTTAATACGATCAACAATTCTGTTCTAAGTTATATTTATTTTATATCCTTTATTAGGATCCAACGGTAAAAAAATGTTAGAACCTTAAAGGAATAACGTGAACAAAGTTGGCGAAACTTTTCCAAGAATGTTGACTATAGATTCTGTATTAAGGTTTGTTTTTATTCCTATAACTATTCTTAAGATGTATCTTATGTTTTACCTTTTTTAAATTTGAATCCTTCGTAAATCCCCTTGTTTCGAGTTCTCGGACGATTGGAAAGGTATTCCTTCTGTGTTGTCTATCCCCTGCTCAKGAGCACATCTTAAACGTTGACTCCAGTATTTTACCTTCAGTTCTGTCAACACCTTTCACAGAATATTGAAACACAGGTAAAATACACCTGTATTGAAGGAGGACAAAGCTAATCTTAATGCCTCCCAACATCAATTATTAACAACTGTTGCGTCAAACACTAATGAATTTTACTGGAGGATGGATATCCTTATGAAAAACTAACAACGATAATTGTACTACACTATTGCCTTTGTAGTTCAATAATCAAACCTGTTTACCGTTTTGTGTTGGTAAAAAATCCTTCTTTTTCTAGCAAGAAAAATTCAAGTTCTGAATTGCATGTGAATTAGCCGCAGCGGTTTCTGACCCAACTTTGATCAGTCYAGAAGTTGTTTTAGGGTTCGTTAACATTTAAAGGTTTTTTTCAACAGTGTTTTTCCATGACAACCAGAATAATACCTTACATAACAGGATATTATCATAAACAAGACGGACATTATTGAGCGAATTGATCAAGGCGATGAATAAAAAAAAAATCATGTTATAAAATTTTCAAAGTTGAAAGACAGTTTTCAAGATATCGTTTTTATCGTAAAAAAAAAAGAAACAAAAACAAAAACAAAAACAAAAAAACAGAAAAAAACAAAAAAAAAATTTTGCATTGAAATATTTCTCCCGTTATGATGAAATTTGTTTAAGCTATGTTGTAGCCCTACACTACAGATTCAGGGTATGCTATATTGTTTTCAAAGTTTAGATCAATATTCTCCGAAAACTAAATGCGCGATATGCAAATCATCGAAATCATAGAAACATAACCGATTTCCACCAAAGTTCTTTTTTTAGAAAGTTTATTCTATACCAAGACGAGTGTAGAAAAATCTAGCCAAATAAAGATCTGGGACGGGAGCTACAGCCGATAAACGTCACTAGGTGAACGACAACAAATCTGAGCTACAGCCGATAAACGTCACTAGGTGAACGACAACAAATCTGAGCTACAGCCGATAAACATCACTAGGTGAACGACAACAAATCTAAGCGAGCACTTAAGCACACTTCGGCAATTTCGACGTTGTCGTTTGGTTTGCCGTCCCTACTTTCCTGAGCTTGAACTACGAATATTTGAACAAGAGGTTGTCACCACTTCATTAACACTGTTTTAAGGGAAGGTACGTTTTTCATTGGGGAGGGGGGGAGGTCTGGGGCTTCAGAGGGGCGGGTCGTCAGAACTTTTTGAAAGGTCAAACCTTTTTTATTTTGAGGAAAGCTGTTTCGTTGCAAGGCCGCAAGAAGGCAAGCGAGACAGTTGCCTTGGTCAAATGTCACAAATGCGCCCCTCAAAACTCTGAAAATTGCATTTCCGAGGGTATCAATTTCAAAATTTTCCCCGAACCCCACTATTCGCTTCTACCTTTGCCACTCGGTAAACAATTTTGGCTAAGGTCCTGCCTTTTTGACTCGCTGCAGACTAAGTCTCACTGTAATCTCGCATACGATCTTGATAAGGTATTCTTAATCTAAGGCCCTGTTAGAAAAATGAGTAGTTGTACGCTTGAGTATCAATAACACTGTTTTCTATTTTTGATCGTCATTTTTGTTTTGTTCGATTTTTGTTGTTGTTGTTTTGTTAGATGTTTGACCTCATTCGTATTCGTATTTTGATTTTCTCATTTTTAATGAACCCGGTCAACTATACAATATGTAATCACATTTTTGACCTCCTTTTTATCTGGATATTCATTCATTCATTTCCATTTCCAACCTTGTTTTCAATTTCTCTTTCATATTAATCTTAATATTGCATTTTGTCCACCTGTACTACGAAAAGAATAATCATGATCATGCCATATGCAATGATAAGTTCTAATTTCTATGAATTGGGTTTTTACCATAGTGTTACCATAGTCGCCTTTTATCTAATTAACCAATATCTGCAGCTTTCATGGATTTTTTTGTCTATTATTTTAGTTTTCCCTCACCGGGACCTTTTTAAAATTCATAATTTTAGTTTGTCATAYTTCAATAATTGTTTCCAAATTTCAAACCTTTCAAAACTCAGTAGTGGGAGCACGTACAGAATGAAACTTGAATTAGCTGTAAAAACATCTGTAACTACACTGACGCTTCCATTATTCGTTTTTCTATAACATACATCGATAATTGTTTCCAAATTTCAAACTTTTTTGGCATTAGTGGCAGCACGTACAGAATGAAACTTGAACAGCTGTAATAACGATTGTAACTGTACTGTCAGAAACTCTATACTATTATTATYATCATCATCATTATTATTATCATTATTATTATTATCATTATTGACGTTTGGAACATTTTCAAAAATGTTTTCGGTGTTAGTGTAACTGTCATAACAGCAGGAACTTGTACTAACATCCGAAACGTCAGTTTAACAAAGCTTTTTATGGTGATTCAATTTATCCACAAGTTCCTGCTGTTTTATTCAGAAACACCGACGCAGTCCACGCTAGTACTCTACTAGTTATCACCACTAACTAATAACGTTTGGAACTGCATGCACTGACGAGTTTCGAACATTTCAAACTTTTTAGAACATTTTTCGGCTTAAGGGAACAAATATTAAGAAACTTTAACAGCATTGTAACCCTACTTACGGCGAAGTACTCAAACGGTTTGTMCCGATTTGTCGATACAATGCATGTTGTCTCATTTGCATGCATCCATAATAACATTAACTACTATTGTGTCTATACGTATCTCTAGTCACGCTTGTAAGTTATATTGGTAAAATTTCCTTTAAATAGTTCTGCGGTAAATAATGACTAGCTTGATTCCTTGGCCAATATTCCTACCTATTTTTTACTTCACGGAAGACGGCCCAGTGGATTGATGCATTTGTGAAATACAAGTCGTGCTGCTCACCGGTGAGGGACCATCCGAACTAATGCATTTAGAATCTCTTGGTTTATTTAAAAAAAAAAAAACCCTAAATAAATAATTTAA